TATAAAAGTGTATCGAAGTGCTCAACCCATATCTCAATGAACTGCTGTAGGATCGGACGTTACGTTCCTCATTCATAACGAGTGTTATTCGAGGCTTCGTTTTGTCGAAGCAGCAATAGACTTTCGCCAACTAAGTCTTCATATTAGTTATCTCACCGCGTATTCCATTACTTCAGTGTCTCTTCCAAAAATTATACCTTATTTTTCCTTAATGCTTCTCTCATTTATGTCTGTGTCTCTCCTCTGGAGCTTTGCCTGTTTTTCGTCCTAGTAAGCAGGATCTTTTCTTGCAACCGCTCAATGTCCAAACTTATCCACTGGTTCCTATATCTTTTCTTCCGTTTCTTCGTACATGTTCAAGGATTTTCTACTGAAGATCCGCATCGCCTGTATGATCAGTGAATATCTTGAATCTTCCACTGATCGCTACGTGATATGTTTGGATTGCCTATGCAGATTTGAGCTTGTCCACCTCAAACCATGCGATGGATTTTTATCTGCTAACCAAAATCCGCGGCTTCAGTTGAGCTTTGTTAATCACCAGTGCATGGTCGCTGCCCATTCAGCACTTGTACGTCCTGTCATCTCCTGGGCGTGCTTCATGACTTTTGGTGATGAGAACACGGTCACTCTGGTTACCAGTTGATGCATCAGGAAGTAGAATTGTCACGTGACTGTTCATGTTGAGGAAACTCCTTACCACCACCAACTGCATGCCAAGGTCGTACTTATCGTTCCCCCTGTCATTAATCCCACCAGTGCCATGTGATCCCAGGCACGTTTACAGCTCATTCTTTGTTGCCACTTTCTCGCTGAAGTCAAGATATCATGGGTTCAACTCTGCTGCAGCAGCAGACTCAGAGCGACACACAATTCTTCTTTTATTGCCGTTGCCGCAGCTTCGATAAGGAGAGAGGGAGTAGCAACCAAACAACCATAAGGCAAAATCATTTGTACCTGGAGTGAAACATTTCTGTAATGGTTTTTGCAAATGCCACACACACGCCAGGGTACAAAGACCCTTTCTGCATTTCTACTGACACTACTACTGACATAATCTATTCCAGCAGCACTTTCTGTTGTGTTCTCCATGACATTGCAGCTGTAAATTCCAGTGGTCACACCGTTAATTCCATGTCAGTGTGCTTCTTGAGTTGCAGCTACCTGCATTCCCATATGATTCAGTTCTTCTGTAACAAGTGCGGTCCGTTTAACGTTCCCACATTCTACGTGGCAGATTGTCGGGCATTTAACAATGAAAAATGTTTTCCTCTATTCTTAAGTTTTCCGAGATTTATTCTCATAGTCAGTGAGAACTCAGGGCTCGTTACCAATAATATCTTCTCCACATGATAAATTCTGTGATCAAATTGTTAATCAAACGATTACTGTAATCAAATATCAATCTGCTGAGGGATGATTGACCTGAAACAGCATTCTCGTTAGCCATCCGTTTCACGGTTCATTGCGGGTCTTAGCTGCTGGAAAGAATGCACACCACTCATCTCACTTTGCTGAGCATTTCCTTATGTGAGCGTTGTTCAGTTTCTGTGAATCGTACGGGATTTTCAAATGGTATACAATAAATCTGCATAGATAAAATTATTGACAAATGACCAACTGCGTCCTTCATTCTGGACTTGGCAGCATAAATACACTACGAAAAACTATACTACGAAGGAGGTTTTCCAATATGCTCAAAATCTAAGTGATACAAAGAGTTTTCCATTGCTACTTTTCATTCATCAGAAACCGGTCTGATCTTTCATCAGATGTACCCCTGATTCATCATCGTGTGTCTGGCAGGTAAGTGGCGCTATGTAAACATTTCCTCATGTACATATCGGTGATAAATATAGGTCGTGATTCCCACGTTTTCTGCTTCAGTTTGCGTGCATACTGTAGTTTTCCAAGACAAAACAGACTTCAATTGCATAACGAGTTCTGTTTATCCTGTGCACCATAGGTGCATGCAAGAATTATATATTCCAAGGTGACTTTATCCATTAGTGGATTCAAACCAGTGACACCATTCTTGTTCAAAAGATCTACAACATGGTCACCCATGCTCCATGTCACCCCCCGTCCGAATGTTGCAATCAGTTGTTTCCTTTGACAGGTTTACTTTCAACGCGTAAACAGGTAAAAAAGCATCGGGTTGCCGCTACCTCATTAGCTGTTATTTTCGCGGATAATGGTATACCGCAATGGCTACCGTAGCGGCTATAATTGACTGAGACTAAATAGGTCTACATGACTCGCGTTTCTGTACTCTGGGCGTTCCTCGCGTTTCGCGATATAACGTTTTATTGATGAATAATGTCCGTCATCAGTAATGTCACGTTATGTAATAATGAGCCACCAAGTCATAAATGTACAGTAGTGTCGGATCCTTATGTATGATATGAAATCGATATGAAATTTCTAGGACCAATTCTGAATTTTTCAATTAAAAACGTATTGCAAGAAATGATCCAGGAATAACTAGTTTGAAATGAATTTCCTGAATGTACCCAAGTAGAGGTCTTGGAGGTAGAGCGTCAGACAGAGCTTCCAAATCTAGCTTCCAATCCTATGCTAGAGTCTGAGCTTCGGCAAAAGACAACTGGAGTCTGGAACAGACTCCTTTCACATATGACTTTCATTACTATCAAAGTCATTAATCATTGAGTCATAAATCATTCATTTAAATAAATGCGGAAATTGAGTTTGATTTCTACTGATACTGCGAAATTGCGTTATCTGACTACCGCTGCGTATTTCTAGTACCTCAAGGAATCAATGCAAAAAGCGAAAGTCAAGGGATTCACTGAAGTGGTATTGTGTGAAAATGTTTCGGAAAACGTCAGCACGGTTCTGCAGTGCGTCGGAATGGCGAGTCTTCGTCCAAACACTGTTATAGTTGGTTGGCCTCATAACTGGAAGGACGGTGTTAAGCGACAGGAGGATTACTATTCATTTCTGGGTAAATATTTCAGTTTACAATTTTGCAGTCAATTTATCATACATTCTTCGCTTTCTCATTTCAACCTCAGGGAGGTTGATGAGTTAGTGTATTGCAGGTATTTTTTGCCGTTGTCTGTCGTCGTTCTGGATTTTACCTCGTCTTTTTTTGTAATATCGGCTTGTGATCTTCTTCCTCTGCATTGCCCCATTTTAGGCTGGTAATCTTTATGATGCCGTTCTTCACACAGACACACACATATATATATCAATTTATGGGCTTCCTTGTATTACGTTAATAATCAGATTTCCATGCTCGTATTGTTCCTGATACAGCGTCACGGTAGCTACTTCCTAACCGAATGGTCTTTCTTGTCCTAACATTGCTGCTCAGCATTCAGGACACGGGGCATTAATGGTAAGACTATCCTCTAGTCTACTGGAAGCGTGCGACTACGCTGAGGGAATTCGAAAAGGTGAAGGAGATTGTTATCGTTACCTGTGTGATCGAAAACTGTCAGTTTGTTGTTTAGACCATGATATCGAGATTCATCTTTATTATACATGTCTATGGATAGAAACATATTCATTGTTGTTCGATCATGCATTGGTCGCCAGCAAAGTGGCACTACTTTGCGCCCATGCAAAGTAAGTGCTAAAATACCATGGAGTTGTGACCGGCTTACACTGACTCCTAGGCTCCTGGAAGTGAGAGGACAGTATTTCTACACTGTACAAATTCTGATAAGTGAGAGAGATTGAACGACAGTTGATATTCAGCTATATGTAACATATTGCATAGGTGAAAATAATAATACAGTTTGCTAATATCAGTTGTTTCTGTTATACAGACGACTTCCTTGCAGGACCAGTCGCTGCAAACGGAATGTCATTTTAATATGAACGTTGCCCCCCGCCCGGAATCGACCTGGAATGCTTAGAATGAGCAACCGACCAATCGTTGCTGGTCCGAATTTTCCATCGCATTTCAAACGCCCTAGCACAATTCTCGACTAGTAACAGATACAGTGTAAAATTAAACCAGCCACTCTTACTTGTAAAATGATGAAGGAAACATTTATTGCACTCAATGCTCAAATACTTTTGATCGCGGATATCTACTTAGATGCCTCTCCTAAGCAACCAGGCGCCGGAATCGATTTCATATTTCCTGAAATCCCGTTGTTTGAGAAATCAAGATCTTTTCTTATCATTTTCATTTTTTCTAATCATCTTTCCAGTGCATTACTTTATTCTTAAGCTCAAATGGTGAGAATTTGAAATGTAGGCATCCAGTATTTTCCTCAGCGAATTCACAGTACCTCAGTACTGCGGTCTTTTAAAACATAGATTAACTAACTAATTCCGATCGATCAGCGATTGGAGAACCCCTTGCTGGAGAACTACAGTGCTTCAGCGGCTCGTTTTGACTCTTTACTTAATTCGACTCGTTTCGAATCTGATTCCGCAGACCGCATTTCCCACGAAGCACCTTTTACTTCCTCACTGAAGACTCATATTCTTCCTCTAAATGGAGAGCATACGATGACGTCAAAAACGTCAAATCGTCTGCCAGTTATAACTTCAGTCGAAGAATTGACGCCATTCCATGAAATGATTTTGTCGGCCTTGTTGGGTTCTCTAAGAACACAACACCGGCCTGAATGCGGGCTGTTGAGGCGACAGAGGTTCAGAATTCCACAGCCCTGGTGATTCGTTGACGAGAGTTTAACCATATCTAATCGGTCAATTGGCACAGACTCTTCGCCTCAGAGTGAAGTTATGTTTCAATTTTCGATTGCAAGTTTTCACACTCGGAATTATTCCCGTGGAATTTTATCTGGCATTGTATGATGGCTTCGCGTTGTCTGTCTCATCCATTCATAAAGGGTAGCGACGCCGTTGCTGACGAATGTCTTTGCCCTCTTGCTGTCGATCTTCAGCAGCTGTCGCGATGCTTCTACTCCACTAGCTGATGCAAGGCTTGAAGCAGGCTCTAATTTTCCTCTGGTCTGCCTGAGGTCTCCAACAGCCTGCGCGGACCTTGAAGACCGTAATGACGACTGAACAGCCATAGAGTTCGAAAACAACAGTTTCATGAGGGTAGGTGACTACGTTCTACGGGAGACCTCTGACAGTCAGCAACCCTCTTCCTTTCACATCCGTGCTTGGAATTGGCGCGGTGAGTTATGATTATGGAAAGCTAAATTTTGCTGAACGGTGGGAAGTTCTGGTTATAATAGTTGCGAAGTCAGTAGGTTGACAGACAGGAACAGAGGACGCTCGCATTTCAAGCCATGTGAATGGCGCTTGGCTCCTCAAAAATGAGAATTCATAAAATACTGTAGCACCCCTCCCTGCTATAGTTGCTTTGAGGTCATTAAAGCCGCTGCATTATGGTATTTGACCACCAACAGTGCCAGTTGCATCTCGCATGAATTTGTACGCTAGAGGGAGCTCACGCTTATCACGAGCGATTTTTCAGATGCTGATATTCCTTGTATGTTATTGCATAAACATGCCAATATGATCGTCAGCAGAAGTATGTTGAACAACATATAACTCCTCCAGGACCAGAGTTAGAGGCAATGTTAATACTGTAGAGAGGTTTGTTAAGCCTCAAATCTGAACACTTTTTTAATGTTCGACATTCACGTAATGATCATTCATGCACAAATTGATCATGTTCCTTTTCAGACGCGGTGTACCGAGCAAGCGCCGCTGACAAATGCCTTCTTGTTCCGAAAGGCTTGGCGTTGTTTCCGCAAATAGGAGACCAACTAAGCGGGAACATTGACGTCTGGTGGATTATTCACGACGGTGGATTGCTGATTTTGTTGCCCTTCTTGCTAAAGCAGCACCGAGTTTGGAGAAACTGCAAATTACGAATTTTTGCTGCTGCAAAGACAGAGGACAACAGTAAGTTTAGTTGTGAACCAGCTTTACACTACCGTATTCGATGAAGTTGCAATAAAAGTTCTTATTTATTGCATTCGGCGCGGCGGTACAAAGGACCAAATTTCGACTGGCCTGCGAGCCCTTTTCAGTTCTTGACCTGATTCACGGCCCCTGATGGAATTGTGCCAGGCCGATGCGTTTGCTAGATTTCGACTGTCCCATTTCCTATTGATATGTGTAAATGTCAACCTTTAGCTAGAATACGAACTAACGCGGACTTTCAGGTCAGTCGAAACCTGATCTTGTGTACCACAGGGCTATGTGCCATATATAAGTGTTAAATAGGTATGAATGGACATATCGATTCGTTGTCTGTTTGATGGACCGTTAATAGTCGTGCTTTCCTGATTCGTAGTTCAAGGCAACAAGTGAATAAGATTGTGTAGAATTCTCCATTTACCAACGCTTTGCGATGCCACACGCCAGCGTCATCATGTAGGTAATAATATGCAAATGAAACACCTCTGTTATGAAAATCAGTTATGTACGGTTAATGGACCATACGATGAAAAAAGAAGATGAAGATAAGATAAACTATTTGGACGGGCTGACTAAGAAAAACGGAGCTGAAAGCGCCAAACCGTTTAACTTTACAGTTGATCGGATATCTCAGCATTCTAACAGTTATTTACACCCATAACCTTGCATTAAATTTAATTTAATTTGAAAAATATTGTAAATAGTATGACTAGGGTTTTAACCTTTGCATCACAAATTCTGACTACCACGAAGAAATGTAGCATCCACAAGCCCTTTTCTGTAAAAGCAGCGTTTCTGTGGATTTTTACTAGTCATTTAGTGTGATCTATTCTTAGTATTTAAAATAAGTCTAGCAGTAAACATGATCTCGCTGTAGTCATCCCCTTTATTCCCAACCATTGACAAAATTGGACACTACCTGGAGAATAAACGCTCCTAAATCTACCGCACGAGTGAACTGAATGGTTGGATTGTAGATCCACCTGAATCCTTATCAACCAAGGAAAATCGAAAGCGATAAAACGAACGTAGGTTCTAAGATTAAATGCAATGTCTGTGAAACAAGTTCCACATCGGGAAAACCACACAATGATGAAAAACAATTGCGGAACATCTAGCAGCTTTAAGGAATGGAAAATCAAAATATTGCGACATCGTTTCCCATGCTTTGTACTTGAGATAGTCCTTTTGTCTGACGGACGAAGGTCACTCCTGTTGATAAAGGGAGAACCAACGGGCCATTAACTAATTGAATAGTCTCCACATATGTTGTATAACAACATCCGACTATACGAGCGGCTCATTTACTTTGAGCGCAAGCTGGAATGTCCAGCTTGTTCGCAATGACCAGCTTATTCGAATGAATTAATGGCACAAAGGGCACTGCAGCTCTAATGCTATATAAATGATTTTCATAACGACGTTTCTCCTTTGTGCATTATTAACCTGATGATAAGGCTGGTGTGCAGCGTCGAAACGTTTTGATAAATAAAAGATATTTCATCATCATTGTTAGAAATTTTCTGCACCATGGATTGCCAACTGGAAACCATTAGTTGTTATTCACACATGTATGGATTTATGTCATACCTATTGGAAATAACTTTAAGCGTTATGTGCCACTCGTTGATTAAAACCTCTATCGTTTTTATAGCTGTAAAGATGAAAGAAGACCTGCAGAGATGGGTCTATCAACTACGGATCGAAGCGGTTGTGAACGTTGTCGAGCTGGACGAATATGTTATTCCGGCTTACACATACGAACGGACTTTACAGATGACGGAACGAGTCCGCTTAGCTCATGACCTGCGCTTAACTGCTCGGGAAATCGCGTCACAAGTACGTTGTTGTTGTGACCTAAGGTTGGCAAAGCCTGAACATCAAAGCAGCACAAATTTGCCATACCTGAACACTTTAGTTGCAGTTTCAGATTTTTATTAGGCAAGCAAAATTTGTCAAAGAAATTGAAAGGGCTAAAGGCAGACGAATGCCATGCTAAGAAACTGAAACTACTATAACCATTCATACATTTCATGTGACCTATGGTTTTCGCCTGTTTATGGCGTATTTAGCAAGTCTAAGTAACAACACCCACTGTTCAGCAGAGTGGCCAGAAGTATAAAAATTATTAACGTCTATAAGATAGTTTCACGCAGCCCATTTTTGAAAATCATCTATTGGCAAACTTTCTGTCAATTGGCATAACTAGCAGACGTTCATGAGTTCCGTTTTATGTTTATTTTGTAACTGATTAAAGACACTCACCACATACACTAGGGTTGATGCCCAAAAATGTTCGAGACAATCGGACAGTCAAGTTTCCTAGCTGAGCACTAGTGGTATTTGCCCATTTGCTGTTCTGGCAGCTTGAAATGCGTTGTGAAAAATGGAAATTCTGGTTAGCGATGTCGTTCTATAGCCTACAGGAGACAATAAGCCGTTCCTAGTTTATAGTTGCCCTATTTTACACCCCAACAGGTTTCATCGGTTTAAGTTCTGATGTCTTCTGTTGATGAATCAATAATACTTTAAAAAATTTTCCATTCCATAATAACAGTTAAGCATTTGAAAAAAATGAATTGTATTTTGAGCACTGTATTAAAACGACTTTAACGATTCATGGGTATTTGCACCTTGTGCATTTCACCAGCGTGCCAATCACGCATCATTTCTAGATCTAAGTACACAACCCCGTTTTAATGTATTAATTAAAATCATTCCAAATATAGGCGCCTACTGACCCGGGCAGAAGGATTTTGTACTGCATCAGTGTAAATTCTTGAAAGTGATGCATGCTTCTTATCATGCCCTGATTATTTAGAATGATGATTGTGATAGGTAGGAAGGAACTTGCGGAAAGATCCGTCTATTCTTGATATTTAGCGGCTGGAAATGTAAAGTAAGTGGCATATTCACGCTACTTTCATGGATTAGAAGCAGGAAACCCAGAGAAAAAGGATTGTTTAACGACCGTATTACGTGAGCATCACTCATCAAACAAACTTCTATTTTCAAAATCGTCCAGTTCAGCTTCTCCCTTCGGGTTGAGGCGACAAACGCACCAGACAGTGCTTCCAACGTTCCCGATCCTGTGCCAAAGTCTGAGCTTCGGCAAAAGACAAATGGAGTCTGGAACAGAC